TTTCATTGTTTTATCAAATCTTTAAGATTTTTTCCCTTCTATTTAATGTTTTTCTATCTACCTGTGGTTACTGAACGGTGTTTAAAAGTTTAAGAAAAAACGGCACATAAAATATTGGCTAAAAAGTCGTAATTTTTCTAGCGTTTTAGCAGCTGAAGACCAGTATTTTGGTGCTATGCAAAAGAACGGTTTAGTCAAATTCAAGCTTAAGATTGTACTTTTAAGCACCTGTTTTTTTGTTATTTCTTTATCTCCCTTGCCTTTCCTTCTTTTTTTTTGAACTTTCCTTCGTTTCACTTCTCGCTTTTTACTTTACCATTTATCTGTTTTTCACTATAGCGAGAATGACAGTCAAAACAAATAGGAGGTGAATGAGCAGAGTGAAGGTTTAAAATTTTAGCATTTCCTCTGTCTTTTTTCCTCTTGAAAAAAGGAAATGAAGTAATTTTAGAACAAAGGAAACATCAGCTGCTGAAAATGAATAATAGTGATTTTTAAATTAATCAAAATTGTGTCTGAATTAAGCCAGTTTTTTATGTCGTCCGTTTTTTTTTCTGACCTTTCTGTTTTTTTCTTGTATTCTCTTCTGATCAGCTTATTTCACAAATGTACTCTCAGCAACTTCAACAATTTGATTCCATTTGCTTCATCTTTCTCCATCTTCAAACGTTGTGATAATACCAGAAGTTTTTTTGTTTTTGACTTTTTTTTTTCGGTTGTTATCGTATCAGAAGATCAAATATGATGGCAGAAAAATGCAGTTAAAATGACAACAACAATTGTCAGTTGTTTGTTGTTCGGGTATGCCAAATGAATATCAAATACTACAAAATTTACTTTCCTTTTCAAACCTTTCTTTCCTGAAGTTTTTTTCTGCAATTTTTTTTATTGATATTATATATTTGGCGTATAATGACAACTACTAAACCAGTCAAATTACTTTATTATTAATTTATTGACATGAAGAAAAAAAAAAGGCAAGACAGAAAGGAAAGAGAAGACGATATGATAATAAAAAAAACATCATATATATTGAATACGTCAGCGGTTTGTTCATCCAAAAAATTTGTTTTGTCGTTTCCTTAATTTTAGAAGATCACCATAACCCTTTCTTTTTTTTTTCCTATTTGCAGTTGTTCAATTTCTCTTATTTATTTCCTCATTTTCTCATGATATACATCTTTTTTCTCTTCCTTTTTTCTTTTCATTAAAATAATATCGACGCTGTTTAGACTCCCAAATATATCTTTGTAAAGTTCCATCACCTCATTTACAGTTCTGTGAGTTTAAATGACGTATTGGATAATGACAGTAACATCAAACATTACAAATGCTCACATACCGATCACACACACACAGACACAGACACAGACACACAGACACACACACATACATACTCATTCACACAGTCAAACCTAGACACAGACTCAGGCAAACAAACATATACTCATTCACACAGTTAAACTTAAAGACACACACATACACACAGAGTTCTTTTCACAGACTTCGTACATCAATTCACACACCTACTCAGGCACAAAAGCGCACAGACACCGACTCAGACATACGCAAACACACAGACACAGACACAGACTGATACATATTATGCGGAACTTTTCTTCATAAACGTTGATTCGTTCCTAATTGGTCGTAAACGATAATACGGCAGAACAGTCACCGTAATTAGGGGATTTAGAATCTGAAAAGAAAACGAAAAGATGGTGAAATAACGGTTAAAAAAAAAAAAAAAACCAACAAAGAAAATATTGGTACAGTTATACATCTGTTACTCTTTCTTTTTTTTCTTATGCTTTTAATATTTTTTCACCTTTCCAATATCACTTATTTTTTGGATTATCAACTCATTATTTTATTATGTATTTTATGAATGATTATTTTAAGAAAGTAAGCAAAAAAGCATTTTGCTTGATTTAGATTTTTTATAACCCAATTTTTTATTTTATATTTCCTTTCTGTTTTTTCTTTCTTTTTTTTCTTTCTTTTTTTGTTTTAAATTTTTAATTTTCAACAACAAAATATTTATAGTTCTCGCGTGCTGTAATACAAATAACCACCCACATTGACACAGGAAACGAAAGCAAGTGAAAGAAATAGAAAGATGAAAAAGAAAAAAAAAACAAACAAGAAGAATGTTTATTAATTAATATTTAAAGCTATTTATTATTTTTGTTGCTATTTTTCTGATTTTTTTTTTTTTTGGTTTTTTATCTGTATCTGTCAGTATCCGTCTACAATTTAGCTTAGTTTTAACAAACCAAAAATTGG